TTTTCCACTTCGGTTTTGCAATAATAGTCAATTCAACAGTAACATCTATTTTTTGTTTTACCGCGTCTCGTCTAGTCCTCAATCGAAACACTAATTGGACGGGACGACCAATACGACCATAAACGTAGGTATACTATACAACAATAAATAATAATATTATGTATTCCGTTAAATTCGTCAATTCTGTTGGTGTTTACGTATAGAAACGTCTGATGAATAACATTTTTAATAAAAAAAAAAAAAAGTTGTTGTAATAACGACTTCGATGACGCACTCAGGTGAGCCAATGACGATTGCAACGATATTATCACGTCAAATATAAAAAAGGTGGGCAAGTGAGTGTCACTCTGCTGTACAGTAGGTTACAAGTAGGTCACTGTATAATGGATGGTATTACATTTGAATTCAATGATATTATAACATTATGATATTGTTTTTTAAAACGATTCTGAGCGGAGACGGTCTCAGTGGCGTACATGTGAAACATTTTTTTTTTGGGGGTGGGGGGGCATAAATTAATTGCACAATTTTTTATGGTTATAAATTATAATATAATCTGAAACAAAATATGAATTATATGAATTTGCATTATGACATCAAAAAACTTCTCGGGTTAGGTTAGGCTAAACAGTTCCAAATAAATCAAAATATTTTGAAAATGTTATCGTGTATAGAAAATGCAAATATAAACAACCAGTGAAAATTGCATGTAGGTATATACGTTCATTTGTTTTAAAGTTACACCAAAAACCAAAATCGATTTTTTTGGAATACCGATTTTGCGTAAAAATTCCCGTTTTTCCTTAAGTATTATGTTGTTTTTCCCCTCACTTGTGAAAACTACTAAGACATTTTTACTTTTGACCCCCCCCCCCAAGTTCCAACTAGATTCACTTTCCTATCAGAAAAGCTACTGTTGAAGAAAATCCAATGTGATTTGTGAAGACGAATCGTATAATATATTATTAATATTAAATATTATTGTCATAGTGGGGTCATATTAAATTACTAGGCAATAGGCATTTTTCAAACACTGTAAAACCACTAAAAAAAAAATAATCAAAAATGTTAAATAATTTAAATTTATCAAAATATTTTTAAAACACCATTGCATATCTCTTAAAAAATTATATTTTAATTAATAATAATAATAATTCAATTACTTTGATGAAAAATAATTTAATATTATCAAAGTTTGTATACATTGTTAGTAGGGCCGAAATAAAAAAAAGAGAGGTCTAAAAATACAGTAGGCTACACCCAAAATGCAGGTCTATGAATTGCCTATGAATAAAACGCTAATATTAAAACAAAAGGTTTATCAATTTATTAATTAAAAAATTAGTTTTAACATGGTTTGTATTGGAAAATGTTAAAATGTAACACGGATGACTTCCAGCGCTCGGCGGTTTTAAGAACTACACCGCCGTAACAAAATCTGACCGAAAATATTCCTTCCGACGCATAACCTGTTCTTTATAATCGTGTTCGGTACAGAACTACAAATACGTCGCGTTCAGTGTACACACCACCAGTGCCGTAACTAGGTTACTTGAGGTCTGTGTGCAAAACCAAAATATTGAGGCCCCTTATTATCTTTTTCAATGCACACCTCAAAAACTTTTTTTGCAATTTTTAAAGTCAGCAGACAAAAATTCGGGATTACAAAAAAAAAAAAATTTCAATTTAAAATAATCTATAATTTTAAAACAATTTCTCAAGGCTATAACTAACTCAAAAAATTAAAAATTTTCCAAAATGTAATTTATTGAAAATATTAATATAAATATTTGGTGAAAACTTCAATGGTCTACGATTATTAGTTTTCGAGTTATACCAAAAAATAAAATTTTTGGTTTTAGGCAAAAATTACATTTTTTTTTTTTATTGACACTTTTTACTATCTAAAACTAAAAATTTCGGTTTCGATCTCCAAAAAGTACCAACTAGATTCACTTTTCTAACAGAAAAAATGCTGATCTCAAAATTCGGAATATTTATACTACCCAATGTTGATGACCGATAGAAATGAAAAAAATTGTACACATCTTGTAAAATCAATACATTTGTTCGTTCCGCTCAAAATCTAAAAACAGCGATCACGACTCCATGATATATAAAAAAAAATGAAATAACATTGGTTTCGTTTCCAAATCAATAATAAATAATTTATAAATATTTAATAATTTTATATTAGTTTAATATTAGTCTTTAGATCTTTTGAGGCCCTTCGATATATTATGAGGCCCGAGGCCTGTGTGCGGTGCACACTTTGCACACCCGGTTTTTACGGCACTGCACACCACGGACGAACACATCATACAAATTTCTAGTTCCATAAGTATCCACTAAGACGGCGGTAGTAATGCTAAAAGGAAAATATCCCCCCGAACTCCGCCTGTTGTACTACATTTCCGATTTCGTAACCACAATATTCATCTCGTGTCCAGTCCTGTATATCTTAGTCCATGGTACACACTAATACGCGCGTGCGTGCGTTTTTACGCGGCCGCCGCTGAACAGTGCCGTCGCCGACACAGCCGTTTTTGTCGCGACCAACTGTTGCCGCCGGTCGTATCAGCCGTCACGGACGCGTTATCTCTCGTTTTTTGAATTCGTTGTCGCCGACCGCCGTTGTCGCGTGCGAGTACGAAACCCACCCGTCTCGTGTTTTCTTTTCCCGTTCATATCATTTCTTTATTTGGGATGACGAAAACGAACGAGTGCGACCAGGTATCGTCGAAAATCGCGTCGTGTTCCGCATTCCTGTAAGTTGTGTATATTCGTCGTCGCGAACCCACACGGTCCGACCGTCAGTGTCGACGTGCCGTTTCGATTTTGCCCGGCCGATCACGAGTTATCGTTATTGCGACGTACGTGTCCGCAGCCGCCGCTTTCCGTTTTGTTTGTTATTTTTTGCCTTTGAGCGCCATCCGATTTACAATCGGATGTGCTGGTGTTTGGTGTCAGCGTACCCAAACTGCCGAGTTCTTCCGGTCTGAAACGTCGTCGCACACTTAATTTGGCGTGCTTGTCCAACGTTTGTTTGTAATCGTGAGTCTCCGTCACGCACGCGCAAAGTCTGCGACAACGCCGTCCACAACAACTCTCATCGTCATCAGCCAGCAGTGTTATCAACTTTCGCCGTCATCGTCCGTGTCTCACCAGGTCGACCAGGTCGTACCTACTTAATTTATTGTCATCAATGTTATTGTTAGTAATTAAGTAATATTCATCCTTAGATTTCCAACTGACGTGCGTCGTCTTCGGTGGGTGGAATTCGTGGTGAACCAAGGTTTTCATGTAAACCTAAACTCTGCGTTGTGTTCGAGGCATTTTTTTCCTGGTCTTGACTAAGTTGAAGGGGGTGCTCTACGCCGTCGTCTGGTCAGCACAGCGGTGCCATCTTTGGTGAGTATCTACATATCATACAAGCATCACAACTCATTCATTTCAAACACAACCATAAAACTGGGCATAACACTGTATTACAATACATAATATGGCTTACCTACCTAACTACCTACCTGGCTGTACAGCAAAACATACACTTTTTGATGGATAAACAATAAGGGTTTACGCTAGAGCACGATGATATAATATTGAATATGTTAATTTTATCCTACAGTTGTTGAATTATGCAATACCCACCTACATATATATTTCATTACAAATGTTTTATTACTCTATATAGCTCATTAACTTTACTAACACTTTTATATCCTTATAGTTTAGGAATAAAAAATTTACATGCCTACCACCAAAATATTTACTTTTGTTAACAACATTTTACATTCAAATACAATATTACATTATTAAAATTTATTATAGGTACATTTCACTTTAACATATCTACATTGTCTTTGAAAATTAAATTTATTCTACATTAAGTTAAGTTTAACAATATTGTACCTATTAATGTTATTCAGATGACTTTTTACACTTCAAAATTCCATGTGATCTATATACTGTAATTACTATTACAATAGTCGATTCACTTTGCCCATCATTTATAATAACACACATATTATAACAAAATACATTACATATTATTATAGGTAGGTAATTTTCACATACAACACATATATCTTCACTGTCTTTGACGATTCAATTTATTCTACATTAAGTTAAGTTCAACAATACTGTATTAATGTTATTCAGATGACTTTTTATTCTTCAAAATGTCATGTGATCTATATACTGTAATTACTATTACAATAGTCGATTCACTTTGCTCATCATTTATAATAACATACATATAACAAAATATATTACATTATTTTAGGTACTTTTCACATACACATATATCTTCATTGTCTTTGAAAATTCAATTTATTCTACATTAAGTTAACTGTAACAATACTGTATTAATGTTATTCAGATGACTTTTTTCACTTAAAAATTCCATGTGACGTTATAAACTGTAATGACTATAACCATAGTTAACTACTCCAATAGTGAATAAACTGTGCTCATAGTTTATAATTTGTTTGCTTATTTAACTTAACTTACATTTCATTTTTTTTAATATATATTACATTAAACCAAACTCAACGATACAATATACGCATGATGACACGGTGTTATATGACACAAAAATTATTTGTCACCACAAACCTTATGTTATTTAACAATTTTTTTTTTTTTTTTGTTACACCTAAAGCTTAATATTTATTAACTGCAATTCCAATTTTTTACGTCATATAAAATCAATTAATAAATTGGGGCATGTATGGTTTGGTACATTCTACAAACTACAACATTTTTTGATTACATTGCATTACACTTTTAATTGACATCAAAGTTAATGACTTAATAACTATACTATATTGTGCATTGGAAACTAATAGAAAATAAAATATTATTACCATGTTATTGTTTCACAATAAATACACTATTGTATATTTGGTTCAGTCTAGAATGAACCGTTCTTATAAAACATTTAAATTAACCGTCTATGATTCTATAGGTAGTCGGACCATACAGAGAACGAGAAGATCATGACGTGGAAAACGTCGATGCCGGTGTACAAGTTCCGAGGGATGAACATTGAGGTAGTTGAAGTCATGATTGACAATGACAACGATGAGGTAGGTGAAGTCATGATGGACAATGACAACGATGAGGTAGTTGAAGTCATGTTGGACAATGACAACGTTGAGGCAGACGAAGCCTGGATAGACGACTACATCGTTGAAATAGTTATCATATACGGAGACGAAGAAGTATCATGATGAGAACTTTGTTGGTGTTTTCGACCTTTCACCACTGTACGACATTCAAGAGGTCAGTATATATTTTGTATAAATTATATTATTCATTTAATGTTCATAAAGGAAAAAAATAATATACAACCGTGTCTTTTAAATTTCAGGTTGAACAAACCGCCCCGGTTGTCGCTAGACTGTTGCTAGACCGTCCGGCTGGCGTTCAGCACCCACTATCGGAACCACACTACATAGGCGCGTTGAATTACGTATGCCGGTATTGTAGGGCCCGCCACTTTAAGTGCTAGGAAACAAGCCCGAATAATTTTTCTACATGCTGCAACAACGGTCTGATGGCCGTTTCAGAAACGGGTGTGTTGACACCTGCACTGTATTTACTACAGAGGTTGTTGCTTGAAGATTCGGTAGAAGGTAGACACTATCGAAATAACATCCGCCGGTACAACAACACTTTGGCATTTGCTGCATTCTCCACCGCTTTCAACACACGGCGCTTGCCAGGTCGGGGACCGAATGTAATGACTTGATCGGGAACGAACCTATCCAACACAGATTCTGCCAGATGTATTTTGTCGAATCCGGCGAGGCAAACCGGATTCGTAGGGAGCAGCAGCAACTACTGCCTGCTGCACAACGTCTATTGCCAAGTGTGCTCGAAGACTTAGACGGCCTGCTACGGGGCATCAATCCATTCGCACAGGCTTTCGAGTAATATATTTAATTAATTTTACTCAACAATCCACATTTCCATTACTCTACACTACAGACAAACCATGTTAACATTGATTCATAACTAGGGTTCGGATTTGAAGGCAATATAATCAATAAAAAAAGCATTTAATATTTAAAAAAGGCAAAAAAAGGCATTTAATTTATATAAAAAGGCAATTCATAAATATACTACAAAATAAAATAGTGAACATTTTTTACACACTTTTAAATGCACACATTTTGAGAAAAATACAAATTAAAAATGAGCATGAATACTAAACTACATTAAGTTTATGCTATTTTGTATAAATAGATTAGGTACCTTTTTCTTTAACCAGGTTTGTCCTAAGAATTAGTTAAAAACAATTTTAAATATTAACTTACTTGAGTTATACCAGTTAATTTAATGCAAAATAAACAAAAGGTTAAAAAAGGCAAAAAGGCAAAAAAAAAAAGATCCATTCTCTAAGAAATTAAATGAAACACATTTTTGTATAAAAATTATTTTTCTATTATGATTAATAAAAAAAAAAGGCATTTGCCTTCAAATCCGAACCCTATTCATAACATTGAAATATTTAGTTAGCTAGCGAGTACACATGTCACTATTCCAATTTCCAATTGTAATAATTAATTACACTACTATTTATACATTTTTAACTTTGCTTGCATTCATACATTTTCAATTAGTTACAAAGTAGCTTACTTAAATGAGTAATAACTAGAAAAACATAAATTCTTATTCGCAATCACAACACATTATTGCCTATATATTATATTAACAACGTTTGTTCACAAATTAAAAGTTTTTTTTATTTTGTTCATATTCAGTTACGGATACAGATTTATTTCTCTTAAAAGTATTAAGATATTTGGTAGATATATAGAAAATTCTATACATACTCTGCTACACTTCAATGTATGACACAACGTTGGTGCTATACACTACACTATTGCATTGTCACAACTCATTTTTAACTCATCACTAACTTACAACCAATCTTACTCTCTCATGCCACATTTACTTTATACTTACCATAGGCACTACACTTACCATAAATTATAACTTACTTAAATTGCGTTGCTGCTGTCTCCGATTGTCATTAGATATTAGTTTTTTTCTATTTAATTTATACCTATGCTTACATTTCTATACATTATTTACTCAAGCAGCTGATGCGCGACATAACAGTGAACAATATATTTGGTAATGTCGATGCATATGTTTATACTGTCGAGTTTCAGAAACGAGGACTGCCGCACGCCCACATACTGATCATTCTGAGTGAGGGTAGCAAGTTGCTAACTGCCGACGACATCGACAATGTAGTGTGTGCCTTCTTGCCAGACCCGGTGACTGCTCCGCATCTATTCGATTGTGTGACGAGACACGTGATCCACGGGCCGTGTGGTACGCTGAACCCAAACAGCCCATGCATGGTGGACAACAGTTGTTCAAAGAAGTTTCCAAATGAATACAGCGAAGAGACTGTATACATTTCTGACGGTGGTTACCAAAGTACTATCGGCCAAACAACGGATCTGTGGCCAAACTAGAGGAAGACCAATTTGGTTTCAGGAGGAATAGGGGAACCAGGGAGGCTATACTGTGCTTAAGAATGATCATGGAAAAGATGTATAGAGTAAACAAGCCTATGTATTTAGCGTTCATTGACTTAGAAAAAGCGTTCGACAACGTCAATTGGGAAATATTATTCAATATTATGAAAACCATAAATATCGATATTAAAGACAGAAGAATTATTCATAAGTTATACTTAAATGAAAAGGCCGTGATAACAGATAAAAGAAGCAAATCATGGGAAGAAGCAAATATTGAAAAAGGAGTTAGACAAGGGTGTAACTTATCACCAACACTATTTAATCTGTACATTGAAAACACTCTAAAGCAATTAAGGGAAGAAGAAAATGGAGGATTTAAAATTAATGGTATGCTAGTACAAATGTTGAGCTTTGCAGACGACATAGCATTGATTGCGGAAAGTGAAGAAGCTTTAGGCAACATGTTAACAAAAATGAATGATAGCTGTAAAGAATACAAAATGAAAATAAATAAGAGCAAGACAAAAATATTAATATGCAGCAAGCAGGAATTGCTTTCGAACATAACAATTGAAAATGAGAAGCTTTAAACTGTTCAATGTTTTACATATCTAAGAAGTAGAAAACGGTTTACTGGTATCGTTTTCGCGATTACGGTCACTGTAATCAGGTAACTAATTTCGTGAACTAGTTTAGTGAATTTTGTAACCGTCGATTTCGACTTGGTAAGATTGTTTACTGAGGTTCGGTTACTAAAAAGTTTATGATATCAAATGTTATCAAATATTTCAGTAGACAAAATGTTCAAGCAATTGTTTTGGCGTTCCAGTAAACGTTTTCTAACCGTATTCCATAACCATAAACTTATTTACTAAACAGTTTACTCCGCCAAAGCACGCCTATGGTGTTGGAGAAGAGCAATGAAAATTTTTTGGACAGAGAAAGTTAAAAATGATGAAGTATACCTAAGAATGAACGAACAAAAAGTAATATGGACGACAATCAAAGAAAGAAGGAAAAAATGGATCCGACATATTATGAGAAATAATGAATGGATAACAACAATAATAGAAGGAAAAATAGAATGAAAAGCTGGAAGAGGTAGACCAAGAACACCATTTATGAAACAGATCATAGACGATATAGGGTAAACCAACTATAAGGAACTAAAAGTAGCTGTAATGGATAGGGATAAGTGGAGAGTCATCAAAGTCATTTAACCAATCTAAGGATTGAAAAAAAAAATTTAAAAAAAAAATATACTTTGACATAATTACATTTATTATACATACATCACAAACAATAGTATTACGACATTTTACTCATGACAATATTTTATATATGTAAATAATGAGATTTTAAATAACTATTGATTTCTTTTTGTACAACTTTATGTTCTAAATATTTTTAATACATACATACATAAATGTTGTTTTCAGTTACATAAATTTGAGAAGCCGTCTGGAGGTTGTTTGCGTATAAACTACACGACATCAGTCACACCGTAGTTAGACTTCCGGTTCACCTAGAAAACTACCACAACGTCTACTTCAGCTTGGTAATGGTCAACTGCCGACGGTCTATGGTATTCCGGACACTGTCGAAATCCCACCGCAACTGGTTCGCAACATTGTGGATTTGACCGATTTCGTCTATCCGCAGCAAAATATCTCGTTGGACAATGTCGACGAGTTCGCTCGGAGAATCATACTGTGTCCCCGCAACTATATAAATATAAATGTATATACATTTTATTATTTATTGTATATAAATAAACAATTCACTTATACGTTATATATCTGTATCAATAACTTATATGTACCATTCTATAAATTTGTAATGTAATTGTAATATGTTTTTTATATGTCATGTAAGTTTTTATCAACAACTTTAAAACACTATTCAACATGTAATAAATAATTAAATTATTTTATTATATAAATTTGTACTATTACAAAAACTAATTAGTTGTTAATTTATTTACTCTCAGTCACGGCACTAGAATTGTTTTCCAGAGGGGGGCAGAGTGGTGCAAATATTTTTTTTACATGAGCTAAGGTTTTTTCAACAGATACAGAGGTTATTTTATTTTTAAAAATAATAAGAAGTAATAATAATATAGCTATGATCTATATTATAGTACACACGTTTTTATATTGTATGCTCTAAAAGTCTAAACAGATAATATTTACAAACTTTTGAATAGTTAAAAATGTTTTAAGAATAATGTCAAATATTTGTTATGTGCCTTATGGAAGGAAATGTTTAATCACACAGTTGGCTTAAACAACTACGTTCATAATGAATAATGATAATTTCTTTACGACTTTAATATTATAATATACCTTTGTCAATGAATAATTATGTTACTTTTACTTACCTACGTTTAATAAATGTCTTAAATATAAACTAAAGTAATTGTGTTTTGTAATGAACAGATGAATTTGTTAGAATCATTTTTTAAGCAATGATTTGGGATACCTTTGTTTGTTTATTTTCATCCAGTAATTAATACTCAATATATAAAATATAAATAAAACATTTTTTTCTTATTAACAAATTTCAAAACATATTTCATTGACATTGTAGTAAATTATTTCCTTATTAGACAAATTAATAAATTCAATTTATTCCTCAATTTTTTAAGTAGTGACAAATATATTAAATAATTGATATTTTAAACAATCTGTTTATGCACCATACAGTAAATTATTGAAAATTTTGTTAGACAA